TTATTCGTCCTACTCACGCGTGCACATTTTCCACCTTGCTTATCGTGATTATATGAACCTTGCTCCTTGCATAGAAGTCGTGTCTTGCGCCCCCGTTGTTTTGCACTTACATGTTTGTACTCGGTGCGAGTAACACAGCCTTCAGCGCTCCCAGCGTTCATCGCACTCCTCTAATAAGCTGATCACAATGAACGTCCGCACGCTCGCGGCCTTATCTGCGCCGCAGACGATCGAGTACCGGGTATCTTACGTCATGTCGTGGCGCGGTGGTTATACCTCATAAAGCCGGCGGGGTGGGGGGCGGCGGGGCGCGGTGCACACACAAATGTTGGGAGATTCGCTCTCACTGCCACTTCCAGCGGGACATACGGAGGGGTAACTGCGCCGTTTGGAGGGTCTAGGTCCAAGCTAGGAAGGGGAAGAGGGGGGAGGGGCGGCGGAGAAAGTCGTTGTCTGAGCAGGGCGTCCGTAAGTACACACGCAGTGAGCGAGAGCATAACTCAACTTATCTGTTCCGCGTGGTATCTGATTCAGATCCTTCACCTCGACAAAGGAGCCCCACACGCCTCCCCCCCCCCTTCCTCCCCTCACTCCAGCCCTAAAGGAGAGGACCCCCAACGTCCAGCCCTCGCACACCCGACCACCCGCAACCACCACCTACCGCTTTTGTACGGGAGTGCATTTATTCATGTAGGAGAATGGGAATCGGAGCAAGGCGGGGTGAGAACTATTCGTTTGAAACTCCCGAGAAAAGAAAAACGAGCAAATATTAGTGTATGTTGAAAAGTGATTCGGAATTCCGTTTAGTTGATGAGATCATAAACTTCTTACGCCCCACTTTGTCGAAAAAAAAACCCACGAAAAATGTAAAAAGGAGCTGGCAGTTGGATTTTAAGTGCTGCAGACTCCACTGACAAACAGGCCTTTCGCCGCTTAATCACATTGAATTACAAGTGGCGACTTAATGTGTAAACCTGGAAAGCGTAACCGTTAAAACCAATATCCAAGCTGAAACATTTTGTACTTTAGTCCGTTCATTAGTTCACAAATGTATTTTTCAACGACAGCTTCTATAAGCCATTTTTCAGTGAGGACGTAAAATGTATCAATGTAAAGAATATATTCTTTTTTGTGAGTTCTCTGCTTAACTTCGTTTGCAAGAGACGCTCTCGTTCGCAAACGGGTGAAAATAAACGATGGAGCCCGTTCGTCATGCCTCCTTGTTTACTGTCTCCTGGCACTACTTGCACTCTCCGTAACCTTCCCCTTGCGCTACCGTATTGCGCGCGCGCGCTCGTGTGTTTGTGTGTGTGCGGAGAGAGAGAGAGAGAGAGAAATATCTTGCCTGTAAAGGAGAAAAAAAATGTCGGAGTCAGCTAGCATACTCGTAATATATGGTAGGTGAAATGAATCTTGTTTGCCGGCCGGTGCATTGACCCGCGGCGCGCTCAGGTGCATCGGGAGCTGGGGGTGGGGGTTCGAGCGGAGTGAAGAGGAGGGGTTGTTTGTCCTGCTGTGTCTGCCAGCCGACTCATTGTGAAGTGATGCGGGCAGGACGCAGTCGGCCGAGGCCAGAACGACCACAAGTCTCAGAAAACCTTGGAAGTAATTAAACTGTAATAACGGAGTAGACATATTGCTCGTATAGCAACTTTCAAAACTTTGCTTTATTTGTGGAGATAGTATTACCCAGAAAGGTACTCGAAATAGTAGTTTTTAGCTATTTTAGCGACTGTTGATTATTTAAAGAGTAATATTGTACTTGCGAGCAAATACAATATCAGGCTCAAGCACGCCCCGCTGGCACACCACTGCAGGCACTGCAGGCTGGTGGGCAGGTTTAGATGCCTGGAGGCCCGCTCGGCTAGCGAGCGGATCGGGCCTGAGCATGCCCACCCGGCCTCAGCCTCATTGGCCCGAGGCCCGCCCGTCTCAAAACTGATAGGCATTTGCTCGGCATCTGGGTTGCCCGGCGTGCGTGACAAAGACAGACGAGCCAGCGGTGGCTGGACCGAAAGTGACGGTCGATTTAGTCCATATGGCAGGTTTACAGGACCTCCCGAAGCTGCCCCTAGTGGTAGCTGATTTGTTGGTAATCCGCGCCCGGGGGACTGCAGATGCTGTACCTCTACCACTGCTCCAGACTCTGGTCCTGGCGGGATGCAGTGCTGGCTGTGGGATGGAGTGCGGCGCCGGGGAGCCTGCAAGCCGGAGTCGAGTAGGGCCGATCCATTGCTTTCGTAACGAAAGTATATTCTTCTGATTAGCGTTGAGGAGAATGATGGCACCTTTTATAACGTTAAGCAGTTAGATGCATGTAAAGATAAAACTTTTTATTCAGAGGTTGGTGCTTCATATACCTGTTTATATCCCAGCTCATCATCAAGAGAAGAAATCGACTCGTATTCAATTGCGACGTTACGGGATACATTGGTAAGCATTGTCAAAAGATCATCCTTGCCGCTATTCTTTTGTAGCTCAGAACATAGGGATTGAATGAACCAGGAGCCAAAACTTTTGTTACGCCACGAGACGGTTCCTGTGAGAAAGACAACGTATTTCTTGCGAATTAATAGTATACTTTATGTTATTTACGTCAGGGACATATAAAAGGGACTTTTCTCCCAGAAAGCATTTTTGGTAGGTTTGTTAATAAAATTATTTATTGGGTCACTGTAGGTGTAGAGATGGAATCTGTGGGTATATTTCTCGAAACAAGGGATGGATGAACACATCAGTAAAATCAGAATGCCATGAAATTTATTTTTAAGAGGTCATAAGTGTGCACTTTTGCTTTTGTAGGATGTCTTATTTGAATTTAACGCGCAGGATTTTTTCGGTTGGTGATAAAAAAACTAGTCGCTAGCATATCAGTTAATCAAGGACTACAGATTGACACAGAGGAAAAATTGTAAATAATTACCTTCGACTGTACTGTAAGCCATCAAAAAGTCTGCGTGTGTTGGAATTTTATAATCTGAGTTTGACGTGGAGTCTGTAACTGTAGATCCGGGATCCTTTTGATTCCCCCGACAGGCCTGCCACCGATTAAAGCAAAGTATGCAAGTTATAGAAATTGAACAAGCACTCACAGTTCCAAAATACTGATAAGTCCTGCAGCTTTAAGTGAACTCACTGTTAACAAAGGACCTACACGTGTTATCAGGGGAGCTGCTATAGTGTTCTTGAGGGATTGCATACATTTTTCCTGGGCGCAGGTGTCATAGAGCCTTAAGGGCGGAGAAAGTATGCAAACCCGCGACACATGAGCGACCGCTCTGAAC